TTTCTGAAGGGACAAACATAAAAATAATGTAAAGATACACACAACGACATTTTTACGAAAACTATGCAATACAACCCTTCTGAATGATATTAACATATTCGGGACCAAAGATAACGAGATTTTAATTATTTTGACACAAATATTTTCGTTCAAAGATGCGTTTCAGTTATATAATTCATAGCGAAGTATTCATCATTTGCTATTGTAAGAATAGTAATTATGAACGATCGTACAAGAAAGCAAATTTTACCTTCATTTCTTGAGAAGTAATCAAAAAGGCAAATGGGACAAAACATACCTGCAAAATTGGAGAAAGACTCAGGTAAGATAACACTTCACTGAGGTATGATGAAATAATGTCGGGTATGATGTCACAATGTATGGGTACGACGACATTACACTGAGGTATGATGGAGTGAGTGAGTGAATGAGTTAATAGTTAACGTTACATCGGCAATATTTCAGCCATATCGTGACGAGAACATTTTACATTGAAATGGAATATGTGTATGTTATAAAACCTGTCATCGAAGGACAGTAAAACAACTAGAATATCACAATTAGATTTAAAACTAGTGTGGAAGGGTAAAACTAATAGCACGATTAGGACAATGCAAGATAAAAACAGGCTATAGATCGCCAACAACTGAAGTGAGGTATGATGGAACAACGTCGAGGCATGCTGACAAAACATTGATGACATACATATCCACCTGATACTCCAATGAAAGCAGTCGATCCCTGAGGAATAAGAGGGTAATGACAGAAACAGCATTTACTAGTATAACGTATGAAGGATTGATACAAATAGAAATGTGAAAGGGATTAAGAAAGTTCCTGAACATCCTGTACATGTATTTAATGTTTGGGTTTTCTGGTGAAATATTTCCCGAGTTAATTAACGAAATGCACTACGAACCTGATTAATTAACGAGTATTGATGATCAGGAACATGCAAGTGACATCGATTACACCGACGATCGATGATACGCTTACTGCAGGGTATGACGCAAATCGGTACTGCATGAGTTGTTGTTTACGCAATGCATATTTCTGATATTCTGGTCATGATTGTGTCAGCAAGATGAGAAATCTTGGTGGTTTGGCAATTAGCCATGCATTTCCTCAGCGGGATGTAGAGAACATGACAGTGTCTTTTGTCATGAACTTTGTGGATGTATTTATAGGAAATGAATTGTGTGGTCGGACTTTTGCATGACGTGGAGTTTGTTTGAAATTCTAATAGAAGCAGTTACGTTGAGATGCCATGTAACACACGTGCCTGTATACCTCAAGCCGACACTTCTTGTACACATCTAGACACTACAGCGTGCACGGTAAGTGTTCATGTACTTCCATGTTTTCTCTCAGATATAAATAAGTAAGACTTCTTACCTGAACGCCAATGCGTTATCCTTCATATCGAGAATTTCCAGGAAAAATAACGCTTCACTGGCCAAGCGAAACGTTGCGAGACACAATTCAATGTACATTTGGGTTAATGCCTATTTTCTGTCATATACGTTAACGGATTCCGTGAGTCTGAGGATATAAGTATGCTTTGTTTTTGTTTTATGAAGAATTTCCGACGCAGACCATACAATGGAGCATCGATAGTATATTAGTCTTTATTTGTGTTATTTCGTCAGAAGTAAAAGGGGTATCTAAAAGTAGATGTGACAGGCATCCTCTCTACGCACTACAGTGATACATTTTCCGTAACATACGGATGTAATGTAACATAAGTGTGTATATAATTTTACCTTTTGCAAAATGATGAACATAGTTAATTACAAATGTGGAAATATGAAACACAATTATCTTTATTCGTAGGAAAAGGCAAATACTGACAACAGACACAGAAGATTTCCTGTTCAATGTTAGACCACTGTTGTCTAAAACCATGAACACGGGGACGGTTATACAAGTGACAGGGGACAATTAGTGCATGCATCTTTCTTCCAGACTCTGGGAATAAATTTAAAAAATGAACCCAACTCAAGTCTAGAGCACTTTGGCAAGTCTAAATCGCTTCAGCTGTTAGGCCCATGTGCATATATATTTATTTACGTTATACCTGTGTGTTTCCTCATTTTCAAGCAATCTGCAGTGAATCTATATTTGAAAATGTCATGTTTTCACACTTCAGATACTATATTTTATGCTTACGGAAATGTTCGTTGTCAAAGCCAGTTTCACGTGACTCACCTCGCTGTGTTGTTCACTCCGACGAGAGCGTGGTCAGATTTCCTGTGTCCGGAAATAGAGGTGTATTAGTATCGCTGTTCTCACACGTGGACAACCACCAACGACGTGGAGCTATTTATAGCTCACGTTTATGTCGAAGTGACATCAAGCGTCGATCACACGGAAATTGAAATACACTGTACTGGTCTGAGTCAACTATATTTCAGGAAGCCAGGGCTGACGACATTCAAGATGAATCAACCGAGCTGATGACTTTCAATGTAAAGATGTATATTTTCGGGCAGCTTGGGTTGACGACATTCAACCTGAGTCAACTATATGTACAGTATATGTCTGGCAGTCAGGGCTGATGACTTTCAACCTCAGTCAAAGATGTACTATATTTCGGGCAGCTTGGGTAGAAGACATTCAACCTGAGTCAACCGATGTACTATATGTCTGGCAGTCAGGGCTGATGACTTTCAACCTGAGTCAAAGATGTACTATATTTCGGGCAGCTTGGGTAGAAGACATTCAATCTGAGTCAACCGATGTACTATATGTCTGGCAGTCAGGGCTGATGACTTTCAACCTGAGTCAAAGATGTACTATATTTCCGATGAAGACATTCAACCTGAGTCAACCGATGTACTATATGTCTGGCAGTCAGGGCTGATGACTTTCAACCTCAACCTGAGTCAAAGATGTACTATATTTCGGGCAGCTTGGGTAGAAGACATTCAACCTGAGTCAACCGATGTACTATATGTCTGGCAGTCAGGGCTGATGACTTTCAACCTGAGTCAAAGATGTACTATATTTCGGGCAGCTTGGGTAGAAGACATTCAACCTGAGTCAACCGATGTACTATATGTCTGGCAGTCAGGGCTGATGACTTTCAACCTGAGTCAAAGATGTACTATATTTCAGGCAGCTTGCTGAAGACATTCAACCTGAGTCAACCGATGTACTATATGTCTGGCAGTCAGGGCAATCTTCAACCTGAGTCAAAGATGTACTATATGGGCAGCTTGGGTAGAAGATGTCAACCTGGTCAACCGATGTACTATATGTCTGGCAGTCAGCTGATGACTTTCAACCTGAGTCAAAGATGACTATTTTCAACCTGGGTAGACATCAACCTGAGTCAACCGATGTACTATATTTCTGGCAGCTTGGGTAGAAGAGTCAAAGATGTACTATATTCAACCTGGGTGAGTCAACCGATGCCAACCGATATGTCTGGCAGTCAGGGCTGATGACTTTCAACCTGAGTCAACCGATGGTCTGGCAGTCAAGATGTACTATATTTCTGGGCAGCTTGGGTAGAAGACATTCAACCTGAGTCAACCGATGCCCTATATTTCTGGCGGCCAGATTGACGACATTCAACCTGAGTCAACCAGTTGTAAAACATAGACAGCGTAATGACAAGACACTGTGCAACAAAAACACATATAATGCAACCGTAGATATAATATACGATGGTTGTTAGGAGACAAAAGCAGGAAAATGCGTATTGCTATAACACAGTTATGACACAATTACACCTGATACTGTTAACAAAGCCGCCATTGTATCGTGCATGTAGAAGGTTCACGACAAACATCAGGATGCAAACTCGTCATGAATGTTGCATTATTGATTTGATATTAAGTTCTCTTGCGTTCTTTGAGAAACAAGGTGGCATTATAGACAGCAATTGCGATCAGTACGATCTCCAGGAAAAGAAGACTTGATTTAACGCATAACCTTTATACACGTACATATGGAATTGGACACTACGCACACGTAATACGTACTCTACGCACTACGCATCGTGCAACTACACTGACAATACGTACACATCCAAATACGCGTAGGCGCGAGCTTGTCGATGTGTACTTGTCTTTGCAGACAGCCAAGACGGAAATAATCTGATTCCGAGTGGTGAATGGGCTAAAACACTGGGGCTAATTTGCTTGAAATCGCAGCTCAGAGTTGCCTCCCTTTGTTTGCAAGAACGCTGTGTGTGTGAAGGTTATCAGCACTATATACCCCTGATTGTGCATTTCACCAAAATGGAACACATGTTTGACCTGCGTAACTTCGGGTTTTCCTCCCACATTAACACGCCGTGAGATGACAGGGATGTTGCTGAAAGTTGTGTGTGTTTTTCCTTATATAGGTATATGAGTATAATATCCATGATCAATGTATCTGTGTAATCGGGAAACGCTTGTTATACAACCTATACTACCGGGGAATCGGGGTACATTTTGTGCAATAATAACAATATATGAGTAATTATTTAGGGAATTATTCCGCTCAGTGAACACAGATGCTATACGTGATACTATTAACAATGAGGTTCAATATTCGATGTTGAAAAAAGTAAAGAGAAAGTGACCATTATGCCAGTATTAGGAGAAACAACTATACTACAGATACAACAACAACAATCATAGTACAGGTTGTTGTTTTCCGGAAATTTCAACACCCGTTTCAACCACGTAACAACAGTGCAGTGGCAGCAGGGAACGCTCATGGTGGAAGGACGCAATCCAACAAAAGTACTTGAATACGTACTTTTTCTGAGAAAGTGTAATCCCAAATAAAACATGTTACATTTGACTATTTTCTGAATAGCCTTGTGTATTCATATTGGAAAGACTATATAAGTATCCTACGTCACCATTGCTTCCACGCTCCTCGCATTGTTGTGGACGCAATGAACCGACATACGCCCGGTAGGTGACGCCAGCCGCAGACAGAACACACACTCCCTCTCCAGGGACACCAACAGCATAGCCCAGCTGAGTGAGGTGGTAAGATTGACATTTGAACTTTGTCCTATATATCAGCTGATCCATTGTCGACGGAGTGCTTTCTTTACGAGAAGTTTCAGCCTTGCTCAGTGACAAGTTGAGGGTCACTTAATGGCTAAACATTGCCGCTGATTGTTAGCTGATAGCTAAGGTAGTAGAGCGAAGGACAGCATCTTACGGGGAGGGCTGTGTTTTGACGGTTCAATTGCTCACAAGGGTAAGTTTTCAACTATACACTGTCACAGACCTTCCTGGGGGTGACCAACTTGTGAATGTCAACGCTTGTGTGTGTGTATATCTATATGCAAATGAAGTGCACTGTGCTTGTTTTGAAATTACAAACATCACGCAACCTCAAGAGCTAGCCTCAAAAGACGTTGTTACTTCCCCAGTAAAGAAATACACTTAGTTTGTGGACGGGCTGGTGGGTGTCGTACTCTGTTTTAGGTCAAGGTCTTTAGGACTGGCATAGCCTTTGTGGTTAAAGCTTAAACACAAGGAACAAATCAGAGTGCATATATTTAACATGAAACTATGTGTTTCCTCTTAGTTCCTTTAATTTTGTAAATGCCTTTGATGTAGCTAACAATGATCGTCATTCTGGGAGACTCACGGTTCTAAAGTTTCAATTAAAGTGTGCATGAAATCACGTCATGTAATATTCACATGCAACCTGTGATTATAAAGCACAAGCAGGATAATGTAGGGTGCGTGTTTGTGTGCACCTACTAATGTCCGTGGTTCCATATACACTCGCAAGGCCACATTTGCAGCAGGTGGGATGACAGAGCATGTGCTCACCTGTATACTTCTATAAATCAAGAAGGCCTCCTGAGATCCAAATTGAGATTGCCAAGCTTCTCCTTAGATCAGACAATCCGTGTGACGTAACTGCTAAATATACAGGCGTCTTGCCTAGGATATAACTGCTCTGCAATGTACAACAGTCGCTGAGAGAATATAATTCCAAATGACATTTTTTTCCCTTCAATATTTGCCGGAGTTATCACGTATGACCTAGATATAGCTGGTGACTTAGTAAAGCCGGTATAAAGTTTATGATAACGACCACCTGCTGTTCAAATTCACGACATCAACTGACCGTAAGCTGAGAAGAAAGTCACCATGTAAATTTGTCATACGTCTTATACTAAGCAGTGTGCTTTCCCGTAGTGATCTGTCAGTTAACCGTTCATTAATCGTGTATTTTGTTGTGTGTGAAGCTTGATCCAGGGGGCTCCCAACTAGATCTCACTCAGGGTATTACAGATCATGCATCCCGCTGGTCGTTGCTGCACGCCACTGGTCAGATACTGATCTGTTTTTGGTCTTTCCTGTTCACGATATCAGTACACTGGTGTACTTTACACGCGTCTTCGCCGTCTGTCTTTTGTACATTGTGTTATTTCTACAATTTACGTTTCTGTTTTCACCGGACCGATGATAATCAAAATGTTAAAGTGATTAAGCTCGGAATGGACCTTGCATGTAATAGAGTAACCTATCATAAAGAGAATATCGCAACCAGTATCGTGAAGAGAGCATTCAACCAGTATCATAAAGAGAGCATTGTATCCAGTATCACGAAGAGAGCATTGTATCCAGTATCATGAAGAGAGCATTGCATCCAGTATCATGAAGAGAGCATTGTATCATGAAGAGTACATTGTATAGAGAATCACGAAGAGAGCATTGCATCCAGTATCATGAAGAGAGCATTGTATCCAGTATCATGAAGAGAGCATTGCATCCAGTATCATGAAGAGAGCATTGTATAATGAAGAGAACATTGTATAGAGAATCACGAAGAGAGCATTGCATCCAGTATCATGAAGAGAGCATTGTATCATGAAGAGAACATTGTATAGAGAATCACGAAGAGAGCATTGCATCCAGTAACATGAAGAGAGCACTGTTTCCAATATCATGAAGAGAGCATTGTATCCAGTATCATGAAGAGAGCATTGTATAATGAAGAGAGCATTGTATCCAGTATCATGAAGAGAGCATTGTATCCAGTATCATGAAGAGAGCATTGCATCCAGTATCATAAAGGGAGCATTGTATCATGAAGAGAACATTGTATAGAGTATCACGAAGAGAGCATTGTATCCAGTATCAGGAAGAGAGCATTGTATAATGAAGAGAACATTGTATAGAGTATCACGAAGAGAGCATTGTATCCAGTATCATGAAGAGAGCATTATTTCCAGTATCATGAAGAGAGTATTCAACCAGTATCATGAAGAGGACATTGTATAGAGTATCACGAAGAGAGCATTGCATCCAGTATCGTGAAGAGAGCATTGTTTCCAGTATCATGAAGAGAGCATTCAACCAGTATCATGAAGAGAGCATACAACCAGTATCATGAAGTGAGCATTGCATCCAATATAATGAAGAGAGCATTCAACCAGTATCATGAAGAGAGAATTGCATCCAGTATCATGTAGTGACTGGAGTATGGCTCAGACAGGGATGATAATGCTGAAGATTCATAGCACAGGCATTTAAACTTCAAGATTAGGTCCATGGTGGTCATCACCCAAGTGTGTTTTGGGAAGGGAATTATCCTGTAATGTGAAATAAATGCTGTATTCAGCGAGCCTTGGCGAAATATATACAAAATGATTGTTCTTAATAAAGGCCATTAACAACCCCACACATGCAAGATAACCACTCCAGCATATAATGCCATCTTTATTACAGGGAAGCTGGTCTGACCCTGGTCTTTAAGAGTTTGTTGAGAACCTGCTCGCCCCTGAGTGGATCACACCACGTGACACGGTGATTCAATCAGGGCCAAGTATTGTGAACAAGTGATCCGTGTTCCATGTGAATACCAGTCTTGTCTTCTGTCCTGTGTAGTCATATGGTATTACTGTATTGTGTGTGTGCCGGCCGCCTTCATTGTTATCCATGACAGTACCGCATTATTATTCCATTTGTGATATATTACGTGAATATGCAGTTGCTATTGTGAACACAGGTATTCCCCCTCGTGGGCACTTGCATGTGATGTATGCCTGACGGATAACTTGTTGTGGTAATTTGACAAAATGGGACTTTTTATGATGAATATATTATATTTTATATCTAATGACATGTTGTAAGTGCCCATTCAAAATGAATTTTCACTGTGCCTATCATGTTTGCGCTCAGTATCTGTGTAACATACATAAGGTAAATATATTCCTGTATATTTGCAGATACAGACTACAATGGAAGCGTCTGGCGTCACGGGTAAGTACTATAAGTGATCTCATTAAGATGGATTATGCTAGTTTTGATCTGCCTCCGACTACCCTCAGACAGAACAGAAAGGACCGGATTGGAAGTTTGGACGGAAGAAGGTCTTAATCGTGTTCTCCCTTGTACATGTAAACTACCTGAACCAACGTAACACACCACGTTTATTACCTGAGTGACACTCGACCATTTTCCTGGCACATCTAGGGGACTCAGTCTGCCCCAACGACTGGCCTCGTCATTCTCTCTCAGTGTTCCAACAAATTGTACCACAGTTGTAAACGTGATTGAATGGATGATCCTATAGTACAGTAACACTAAAATACGTTTAATTGATTATAAAAAATTAATTTCAATGACATGAAATAGCTCTACTTATGAGAATATTCTTCAATGAGTATATATCTCCACATCCATAATTGATCGTTATTCTACACGTACATTGCATGTTGCATGTTACATGTCAATTACCAGATTGTAACAATACTTTAATCTACACATCCTTGTAAACGCAATCAGTACCAAACGAAACCAGAACACGGAAGTGTTATGCGATTAACAATACAGTTAACTCGGTGTACACACACATACGGATTACAGTGTAAAGTAAGTACAATTGCAGCCCACAAGAATGGTACTGTACAATTTGATGGCAGTACATATACAATGACAGTATAAAACGAAAGAGTGGTGGTAAACGTCAATGTTAGTGCGATAATATTCACTCTTCAGCAACAGTGGACAAACTCCCGAAACAGGCGCCATCTTAACACCGCTGTTTTGGTGTAACATGAGATGAGAGAGGCGTGCACTTGTCCCCTTATACAGTTTGTTTGTTCTTTGATAACGCAACACTCAGCAGTATTCAGCTATATGGCGTCTGTCTGTAAATAATCGAGCCTGGACCAGTTAATCCAATGATCAACATCATAAGCATCGATCTATGCAAATAGCATACGATGACATGTGTCAACCAATTCAGCGAGCCTGTCCACTTAATCCCGTTAGTCGCCTCTTACGACAAGCCCGGGTTTGCTCAAGACCAATTCTAACCCAGATCTTCACGGGTCCTTATACTGGCTTAGGTATCTTCCAGAATGTTATACCCTATTGAAGATTGATTCATGCTGTTCAAGAAGACAAGGCGTTCAAAAGGAACAATTTAGTACAGTTATAAAATAGTTTTAAAATCATCTACACTGCAATATAACAATACAATGCAAATATATTTTCAGGACGAGATGTATACGACCTGTTCAACCCAGTCCTGATTGGTGTTATTGCCGTGGCGCTTGTTTTCTGTGTGCTGGGGATCGCGGGGACGATGTACCTTGTGTGTAAGTACTCACCGTGGTCCTCACCCCGAGGGACAGAGAAGCAAGGGATCCGGTATGAGCATGTGTGATCAGCGGCTTTACCCCAGGGACTCGTGAGGAGATTCTGATGTGACATTGCTGGATCACGTTACGGATCAGGAACTAGTCTCCGGAGTTGATGTCTGGAACCATACATCTGTCGCTATCTGCAACACGTCCTGGTGTCACTGTGGTTCAAGGACGGAATCTCCTTCGCGTCACCTATATCTGAAGATGGGTGCTTGTTACATGAGGTGGTCTTTCTCTGCTCATTACCAGAAGGCCAGCGAACAGTTGTCCAGTCTTGTTTTGATGCCATGAAGCAAGCTCCTCACCAAGACTTGTACGGATGTCAAAGAGCCAGTTATCCATTAAGTCATGTTTAGTTGCCATGTTTAGTTGCTCACCAAGATGTATGATGATATCCGATCGTGTCTGCACAAAAATCAGACATCTTCGACTCCAGAACATCTTCATAGTCTCTGTCAGGGATGAACATGCATCTTTTCTAGTGAAATTGTATTTTCAAGTGGCATTTAGAAACATTGGTATCAGTGAAAACACGCTTGACTGATGGATGTCCTCTGCTTTGCTGTATATATGCGATGTTTGGACACAGGTGCTTGTTTCTTGGTCAAGTGGCCAGTGATACATATAAGTTGTCCCAGAAACAATACCAGGCTTTCACAAACTTGAAATCAGTTTTAATTTTGATAGAAGTGAACATTAACTCAAAATGTGTTCTAATTCAAAACCGTACAGAGCATTCAGTGCGGTAGTTTTTATTAACAAACTTCTGAATGAGGTTGACATGCATACAGTAGAATAGTTTCCAATATATATTTTCCATTGCACTTGTAATGAAATATTAGTCAAGGTAAAGGATTAACTGTTTTGAGAAAATATTACGAGTCATCTTGATCCTCCAGATATGATGTGTCTTGATGATCGATATTATGTATTTCCTCATTAAAAGAAGATTACACTTGCTTTAGAAGCATACAAGCAACGATCTAACAATGAAGACGTACATTTTATAAAAATATCCTTATGGGAAGGACTTGAATATCTGAATGAACACTAATTCCTGAAATAGTTTCCCAGCTTTGGACTGAGGAGATAAGGGTTAATGTACATATCCATAGCCTTTGAAGAACCGTAGTCGTGTCGATTAATCTGTCAGATGAACATTACAATTTCTTCACTAATGGAAATAGGATTCTCAATGTAAACATGGAGACGTGTCTCGGTTGGCCTGATACTGTGAATAATCCAGTCGTTGTGTATAGCTGCCTTGCTGTCAGTATATACAGTATGTACATAGTCACTTGCGGCATCTGCACGAACGTTGGTACATATTACCTGGACGGAACGGTTGGTATTGCCTTCCCCCATTTGATATATGTGTATCCATGTAGTTACATCTACTCACCATGGTCCTCTGTGGGGGTTTTACAACCCACATACACAGTCAAACACGCTTGTGTCGAAGTTTGAGGTGTCAACCATGCGGTTGTCTCGAAATACAAGCTTGATCCACTTTCCTAATTAACTAGGTATTTGAGGATGTGTCTAACACATGTAAAACTGACATTATTTGCGGGTGTGTCACAAATCGGATAACTTTACACAGTATTTACACAGGACCCTTTAACTTCGACACCACGTTGTTTGACTGTATAAGATGTCAGTGCTGGAAGTATGGCAAGCGTAGTTGTCCGCACATTGTCAAAATCTTGTTAGGGTCACAGAGACATATTACTCTTTGATTATAATGTACATACTAATTATAATGGATTTGGTTCACAGCCACTGTAAACGATACAAAACCGTTAGTTTCCCCATCGTAATGTTTTCATTCATCGAAGGTACATGCGCTGATAATATTTGATATTGTGTTACTTCCAATGAGCCATGCAACGAAGCTAGGTAGATACGTATATTACCTTCCACGTCTTTTACGTTTACATATATTTGCCAGGCGGAGATAAGACATATTCATACATGAAGAAACATTCCAAAGAGTCTGTTCGTGACGAGTCAAACTTTGTGATTTCCTTCCTTTTTGAGAAAGTCAAATGGCTCGATATTTGTTGTGATTTACGAAAAGTTTTAATGTTTGAAATACTGTCTATAAACGATCCCGTTGTATAAGTGCCTGTGACGTATATATGTACACATATATGTTGGCCTGGTTTAAACATTGAATGTTCTGTTCATTGACTTTTATAATAAAGAATGAACTATTTCTCATCGTCATTTTACTTCTGTGGCAAAACGACTGAGACATGTTAAACCGTCCTTGAATTATTTCACATTCTGTAAGTGATAAATACAGAATGCCGGAAAACAACTGATATTGATTCCATGACTTAGAATCAGTGACGACACCCGGTGTTCGCGTAAAGGTTAACTTGCAAACATGGTGATCAACGTTTACATTACAATGCCATTACCGTTTTATTGCTTCCCATCCAATACGTGAAACTTGAGGGTGTTACACATAACCTTTCCCCGTTGACCATTTATTTTCATCATTTCAACAGCAGATATACGTTCCCCTTGGATGATGTACCAGTTGCTAATCGTGAGTGTTCTAACCATGGTCATGTTCTATGGTCTGACAACTATTCGTCAATGTGTAATAAAGGGAAACATTTCCCTCCACTTTGAACATTCCCTCCAGAATCACGAGTGAGTGAGTTTAGTTTTACGCCGCACTCAGCAATAGTCCAGCTATATGGCGGCGGTCTGTAAATAATTGAGTCTGGACCAGACAATCCAGTGATCAACAGCATGAGCATCCATCTGCGCAATTGGCATACGATGACATGTGTCAACCAAGCCAGAGAGCCTGATCACCCGAACCCGTTAGTCGCCTCTTACGACAAGCATGGGTTACTGAAGGTTCATTCTAACCCGGATCTTCACTGGGTCAGAACCAAGACCTTGTTGTTCAGTCAGTATTGTGTTCTCATCTAACTGAGTGAAATATACACCAGGAATTGAGGCTACATGTGTATGGGATTGTAAGTATGGAAATAATAAAACATTGTTGGGAAAAGTTTGAAAGTAATAATCTATTAATCTATAGCATCGTTTAAACGTATGTACAATTTACTTTGTAAACTTTGAGGAGCAGTCTTATCACTGGTCTGTATTTGTGAAGCCCAACTAGGGCCTCATTGGCAATTCTACACAAATTAACATGTAAATAGAACTAAACAACTAATTATCGACCACTGGGACTTGCAGATCTGCCTAGAAACATAAAGAGATGAATGTTATGTTACTCCGCTACCTACAGTGGTAGAAGCACTAGACTTAACCAACAACAAACAAACAGTTGTTGACAGAATGGACAATGACCTTTACATCCAGGTTATGGTAACGCCCAATCAGACAGACCACACCACTCTAGCCCTGTTCCACACCAGGCTGTGGTAAACACTATGCTGGAGTAGCGCTCGAGTGTAGTGTTCCTGACGTTCCCTGAATCATTTCCGCTTGTGGCTAAAATCTCTGTTGATTTTATTTCAAGCAGGTATTGTTTCTCCAACAATCGTAGATGTAATTGCTGATTCACTTATAAGGATTGTTATCTTCTTGTGGGCGCTATCTTTTGTTGATATATCTAGATTATAGATGTTTATGGAGTCGGCGACCGTGTTTAGGGTTTCCAATGACAGCCTTGCAGCCATTTACATTGTCCATGTTCGTCTATCTCCTAGCCAGATATAAAGACGTCATCATCTAGGATTTATTACATGAGTGTCCCTCAAATACCATTTATTTGACAATAGTTTATTTCATAACGTTATGAGAGAGTGGGTTAGGAATTAGAGTCATATCGACAGTATTTCAGCCATACTGTTACTATAAATTAATAGCTAGTATACAGTTACATAATGTGCAATGTTGTCGAGGGACAGTAAAACAATCGGATTATCACATCTCATAACGTCATGAGAGAGTGGGTTAGGAATTAGAGTCATATCGACAGTATTTCAGCCATACTGTTACTATAAATTAATAGCTAGTGTACAGTTACATAATGTGCAATGTTGTCAAGGGACAGTAAAATAATCGGATTATCACAGTCTGTGTATACAACGAGTGTGTTACCACAAAACGACATCACTATATTTAACGGTATAATATAAAAAAACAAACAGGCTATTAATAGCCAATAACTAAAGATAGATCAACTTACTAGGGACCATGGGGACTCATAGTATCCTGGCCGTAGTAGGATTAAAATAATTTCTCCAGTTATTGGCGATTGCTGACCATCCAACCAAATTCAAAGATTACTTAATCGACGATAAAAAACAGAGCGGCAATAAATATACTTTGAAAGTTGGGGTCTTAGATACCCTCTTTGTAGGCCAATAGTTTAACGTTACTTGGAAGGTATGACCACTAATTATCAAATTATCAAATTTTACCTAGTACCAATTTAAAACTAAATAAAGGTTTCCGATACAATTCTTTTCTTTTAAAAAGCATAATATTATATCATATTAACAATATTAACATCTTTAAAGATGATAATTTGAAATGATTACCCCTTATGCGTTTTGGAACATCCAGAGATAATCCGCATGTGCGACAGACGCGAGTGCAGTAATCAGTTTCAGTCAAACCCTAACATCGCACCATCGAATCCATGCAGAGTATGACGATATTTATGATGGTAGTGTTACGAGAGTGTGTTTTTTTGTCATTTGTAATATCACATTGATTAAGTGATCGTTATTATGGGTCACAATGTTTAAAGTTTTGAGTGTGGGCTGTGGCTCGCATCTCGCATCGTATATGATCAATGGCAATGGTATTTGTAGCGGCACGCCTTTTCGATAGTGCTTCGGAGTTGCCTCCCTTGGCAATCGTTTGTATTTGTTGACTTCCGGATCTCGCCGTGGAGCTTTCGATAACGTTCTGAATGGATAATGATGCATCCTAGCTTTGCTAGAATGCCCGAGAACTGTGTAAGGGCTATATAAAGGCTGGTTGTTGAGTTGTGCGACGGAACTTTCACATGACTGGATTTATATACATCTGGGCTAGAATGCAAGGGTTAGGCACCCTTTACGATCCTTAGGGTTTAGGGTTAGGCACCCTTTACTATCCTTGGGGTTAGGCACCCTTTACGATCCTTAGGGTTAGGCACCCTTTACGATCCTTAGGGTTAGGGGTAGGGGTTAGGGTTAGGGAACCCCAGCAGCGCTAATTAGTCTGAAAAAGTGCGCCCGGTAAAGTGCAGTACTCCCGAAATCTGTATTGTCCGTCATTGTAGTTTGCTCATTGTTTATTCAATATATTACTGAATATTTTAGACTTGTCAGTTTTCTATTTTGCTAAATCAAAGGGGACTCTTAAACCTTTTGTCACGGCAAATTATTAACCGTAACAGTAGTAACGCATATCACATGAGAAAACTGTCATGGATATGTCTTCCGGCTTATTGTTGTATACTACTGAAACCGAGTGTGTCCCTCTATAAGTGTTTCAGGTCTATATCGGCCCTGTCATGGCGAGGAGGATGATGCATTCATAAAACATTATAAATCACAAAATGCTGACATTGACGAAGTTAATTTTTACTGAAGCACGGCAAACGTATACATGGATTACAATCAGCAATGTAGTCCTGTGTAAACTTATCTAGGTTATCATATGGAGTTGCCAACAACAGGCGTGGGGTTAGATCTGTCACATTCGTTTTCAAAATGTTATCTCAACTGAGTGAAAAACAACTTACAATAACATGAACCACAACAACAACAACAACAACAGCTACCGTTGTCTCCATGACCCTTTGTGTCATGACTGAATCTTGAAGGTGTGGGCTATATAGCTGGGAACACTCATCAGTAAGGGGTGGCCCGGTTGTTTCGTGTTAATTCCCAAGGAGAAAACATACGTTGTGCAGTCAGTACATAACCACTCACGATAACTAAATGACTGACATAATAAACTGAAAAGCACACCCCATACGATTCACAATTATGGCAGGAAATACATTGGCTTGACGATGTGATGGAAGCAAGAACAGACACGCACATGTTCGAGTTATCATGTCGTGCGTGTTCCAGAAATCAGGAAACACTTCTGGAAGCAGGTAGACAGGTACCTTGTTCCTGCTGTGGATCTGTATGAGACACAATGGCAGATACATTAAACAAGAAATAGACCAAAGACGTTAGAGTGTGGGGAGACTGTTGCATCAATACATTATACAAGAAAAAGACCAAAGACGTTAGAGTGTGAAGAGCCTGTTGCATCAATACATTATACAAGAAAAAGACCAAAGACGTTAGAGTGTGGAGAACCCGTTGCATCAATACATTATACAAGATATAGCCCAAAGACGTTAGAGTGTGGAGAGCCCGTTGCATCAATGCATTATACAAGATATAGCCCAAAGACGTTAGAGACGTTAGAGTGTGGAGAGCCCGTTGCATCAATACATTATACAAGATATAGCCCAAAGACGATAGAGTGTGGAGAGCCCGTTGCATCAATACATTATACAAGATATAGCCCAAAGACGTTAGAGCGTGGAGAGCCCGTTGCATCAATACATTATACAAGATATAGCCCAAAGACGTTAGAGTGTGGAGAGCCCGTTGCATCAATACATTATACAAGATATAGCCCAAAGACGTTAGAGTGTGGAGAGCCCGTTGCATCAATACATTATACAAGATATAGCCCAAAGACGTTAGAGCGTGGAGAGCCCGTTGCATCAATACATTATACAAGATATAGCCCAAAGACGTTACACTGGAAAAAAAATCCACTGTTACAAGCTTGGAAATGTCTTGGAAAGATGATGTTTCCAAGACATTTCCAATTTTGGAAAGATGATGTTTCCAATTTTGGAAATATCTGCAAGGGGAGATAACTGGTGGGTGATGGTAAATGACTGATTGTTCTGCATGGGCTAATTGCTATAGTGGCATGGGGGCGGCATGAGTGTTTCATGGGGGCGTTAAGGCGACTGGCGGTAGTCTTTGATGTTTGGTGTTGCTTCAGTAATGATTGTTTAAGGGATTAACGAAAGGATTATCGACTTGACTAGTCGAAATTGCAGTGGTCAACACATTTTAAATGTTCAATGTTTTGGGTGAAAGTGAATTTTGTCACGTTTAGTTTAAGTATGTGTCATCGTAAGCTTATATCTAGTGAGTGAGAGTTAATTTTGTACAAGGGCCACGGACCCATTATACAATTATAAAGATGACAATACAATCCAGCGCCATATATAATATTAAACTGTATGCTAACATGTACAATGTCTCATTTAATCTTATACTCTATATTAAAAAACTTCGCCCTTTTTGTCAATGCAAGAAATATAAACTTAGCAAGATTGTTAACAGTTGTAGAATTGCAAGACAATAATAAGTTGATAAATTTAGTTTCACATGGATTATTTATGTAGTATTGTGGGAGCAGGCTGTTTCTCAGATCACAATAAAATGAACATTCAATAAAGAATTAGTACTCTGATTCAATGATAAGTACAATACACAGAGGGCAGAATCGCTCATGTTGTTTTATATTTACTTTTTGCCTATATTCCAACATTAAAGGATGGCCTGAACAACGAAACTTACTCAAAGCAAAACGAATCGTTGCGTTGCCGTCAATCGTTGCGTTTTCCCTCCTAGGGGGTCGAGTGATGGTGTCACCATGCACTAATTTCCACCGGACACCGTAGTTCGTGCTAAATGGGTTATGTTTGTGAGTGCGAAGCGAGCGTTGTGGAAGCTTGGAACAATATCTTAAATGTGTTCAGATCGCTTCGCGGAAGTTAAAGAATCAAAACTACTTACTAGTTGTAGTACAATATATATATATGATTGATGACCAAAAAGATTTTCCATGACACAACTTGAAGCATAACGATTTCTTTCTCGGAAGCGAGGTTTTGGTGGAAGTGACAATAATATTGTAAGTAGTATAGATTAGTAAATCTACATACATAAACACTACCTTTCGACAAATCCGCTGTGTAAGCTAAAAGTAATTAATCAATCATCGTGTTATCTGTTAATCCTTTGATCGATGTTAATAATGTTGAGTATTTACTCCAGACACAAGAAATGCAAAATGGGAACCTTTGTCGGGTTATCTAAGTGGTGTTACCACTAATTATACCTGTTTTAAATTCATTAACTGACCATCAAGTGAATGATGACAAATAACATGTGTAGGTTTATACCACCTAACACGGGTTACAACAAGGGAGTATTAATTGCTGTATTGCATGCACTTTTAATTGCATGTGAAAACCTATGGGCCGACACTATTTTGAGAATACGGACAGAACTTCATTGTTGCATAAGAAATACATATCAGCATTTGCTGTGTGCTAAAACTGTTTGTACCTATTTACCTACGTAAATTTCTAGCAATGGCAAAGTGGGGTTGTTTAGTTTACGGATTCAGATAGATCAAATGTCATTTTTTAATATTATACGTCATATTTTTACATGACGTGAATAAATATCGAATAAATAACACAGAAATGGGATCAATTATGATCAGTCATTATACCATCCAGGCATTAGAAAACCTGCAAAAGCCCACACTGCTTTGATACTTTGATACAATCAGACAAGAACTACCGGGGAAATTTTCAAATAACTGCATCTGATGGGCATCCACCCTCCTTAATGTCGCACTGTTTAGGTTGAAGAAATTAACCGTAACCGAGATGAGCGAGGCTGATCATAGTTTTCACTATCACCAGCGGCTGGCTCGAACAAATAAGGCCTAGCGACACCAGGCAATTACGACAGAATCGTCTATGAAAACAAGTTGTAACTCGGAAGGGGAGCAGGACAAAAGCCACCCGGACAAATGCCACCCAGTTATTTTACCATTACAGAGAGGACAATTACCACCCATATTGATTTTAATGTTGATTTTGTTGTAAAATTATGTAGACTTTGATGAATAATTTGGTTTCTTAAAAACCTATATTCACTATGATAAAAAAGTTGATTTTCATGTACAATTTTGATTTCATAGTAATGTTGACTTTTTAAAAATGTTATTGTGTTGGTGGTTTTTATTTTTATTGGGGTGGAATTTGTCCGGGTGGCATTTGTCCTAGGCCCACTCGGAGGCTAGGCAAAGCTGGTGACAAAATTAAATGACAGCAGATTGTGAGAACATATAGCTTTCATTTTTCACATCAGTTGTCACGATTTCTGTTCCTGCTGAGCTGTAGGCTCGTTCGATATCTCGCGATGTCATTATCGCGATAATGCACCTAGGAGATCATCAAAGGAGTGGATTGCTTAAAAGTCACATGCAACCAAAAAATCAAACATAATTAAAACACAGTTATCACTTATTTATGACATATAATATACATTCTGATTATGAAAAAACATAAAAAAAAAAAAAAAAGCGTACAATGGCAAATAAAAAGTGCAATATTTTGTACTTGGGTTTACTTCCCTAGAAACGAAGCAGCCGGGATACCGAACCCAGTCAGGGCGGGTGGGTGTGCACTCAAGTGTAACGGCTGGTTCAATTGCCGATGCCCTCACGGCTCATTGTGTGTGTATATATAGAGATGTTAGGTTTTGTAAATACGGTGTCGTACCGGGAAGGCTAAAATTTATTTTTCAGATGTCCCGGGAAGGCTAAACTGTATATTTTGGATTTCCCGGGAGAGCTAATTAGGGGAGTATCGCCAAAGCTAAAGATCCGGTGCCGGGAAGCATAATCCATGCCGGGAGTAGATACATTTCTTTTCAAAACATTGTTATAATAGAGTATTTATCAGAACAGAATAGAACATAGACTTTATTAAGACTTGAACCAGTCTTCTATTCGATTTAGATTTAAAGATAAACAATGGACACATATTATTTCTTCCCTAGGTACATTATGGTATCTTCCAACTTCAATATGTAGCAGGCATCTTTATCTTCTTCGCTTGTGTAGACCTGTATTTAAATGGCGTTTTTATTTCAGATGTATTTAATTCGAAAAACCTTGCTATAATATTTAAGTTGCAAACTGACACCGAACTATCATACACATATTCGTGATGGCAGGTCCGCAGGTTAGAGTTAACTTAATCCTGAAGGGCCTTGTGAACAACATCATCGGGGACATTGCCTACACAGACCACGTGTCTGAACTTCTCAAATTGTCTTAAGCTCGACGTAGATTGACAGAAATGTGATTTACTATGGATAATGACAATTTAATGTCGAATTCAAGAAAATGTATACTAAAAATGAAAACGTATAGCTGTATTAATATTTTTGTATCTGCCCAAATTAAAGAGCTTCCCCGTTAATCCTGTTTTCTTTGTATTTTGTCAACAGACATCATAACATGTCATGTGTACAAGTATCACACCTGCCTGTCTGTAATTACATAATGTGACAGAGACCGAACTCGGGCCATAAATCAATGCGTTTTGTTTATGGTGTATAGGTGTTAAGTTCAAATTGCATGTGGTCAGTGATCGAAGTTGTATATTGAATATTGTCATAAGTGGACAGGCAGGCAGACACATAGGTGTCAATAAAACAGACCCTGAGTTTTGTCTGTGGCAACGACATATCTGTGTCACAGTTAGATATTCTGTCAACGCTAAATAATGACATTGCTTTTAAGTACCGAACTGAGACAGTGACTCGGTAAGAAGAACGTGTGGTGAAACAGACAAATGAAATTATATAAACAGTTAAATCGGTAATCTACTGGAATAACATATAAAAAATCTCGCGCCTGTGAAATATCAACAAAACATTAAAAAAAATAGCTCACACCAAAGCCTTCACCGAGTATTCACCGAACAACCCGCTGCGGGAACCTGTTTCACTGCGCATGTGTTATGAGCGCAGCCCAGCTGTTGAAACCACTTTTCCCCCAAGCTCTGGGGGAAAATTAGTGAACCGTTTGAACTCCGAAGTCACCCGGTTTTTTTCATCGCGTTATTTGTCAACTTTATAAGTTGAATTTGCATTTTTGATGAATTGTTTCGGTATGTCCATACCGAAAGGAATCAGAATCTGCAAAGTTGTGTTTTACGTTGCATGTGACCTTTAACATAACGTTAGGAATACTTCTTACCTTTTATTAAAAAAATATTCGTTATTTTTGTGACAATCTATTTGAGATTTGATTTTCCTTGACTTCGTTGTGTACTGGTTGTGGTCTCCAGGAATTTTAGACATTATGTTGTTCAATGTGGTTTAAACATATTTTTATTCCGTCAATGCAGAAACCTGGATAGGCGAACAAGCCTAGTGGCTTATATAAACGCCGCTCCAGTACACAGTTCCAATATAGCTGGATACATATTTGAAATAGACGGACAAGAAAAGAATAATATTGAGACAAAATTACACCCAGAAAAATGATTGAATAATAAATATTTGGTTATGGTGTTGGTTGTGCCTAGTAACGAAAAGAGCTGCCGCAGAAATCAAGTTATATAATTCTTGTCTTGCATTGAATATACATGTATATACATGTCGTTCAAGGTTGAGACTGTTGCTCTGCAGTCTTTCTGACTGCATCTCCATGAGATCCATTCTTTCCTTTTCCTCTTGTTCAGAATGAACATATACCGGTAACCATTTACACATAGATATCTTCAACCACGAAAAGTAGGAAGAAACTTCTAGTCTAACTGTGCATTTACCAAAACTGAATTTGTGGAAATAATGGTGAAAACTGTCATTTCCAAAATTCTTATAGCAAGGTTCTGCAAGAAAATGAATTACTCACAACTTATGAATTGAGTGAACTAAATTATAATCAAAGTGACTGTGTGAACTCACTAACATGGATTCAATCTCATACTGGTAGTCTGGTATACATGTCTTATTTCTTTCCTTGAGTGAACACGTTTTTTCATCTTGTAGAATCCCTTAAAACAACACCGTTGTCAAAACATCAAACATCAAACGATTTTTACCTTGACCCAAATGTCTAACCTACCCTTTATCTCGATAATGATACAAGAATGAACCCTTCTCTATGCATCGACAAGAATACTTATCAAACAAGCATGGAGTTGCTATTGGCGTGGCGTCGTGTTCTCATTGCAGGTGTTAACATTTTCAAACGTATATAATTGTCACCACAGCGACAAACCTATTTTACAGTTTAGTAGAAAACTTAACAGAAGCATCCAACCTGACCTTACAATGAGCGGTGTGATAATTCAAGACAGATAATCACAAGCATCTATACTTGACCCTTCAAAATAACTGTAACTGGGATATTAACATAAAGTCTATTGGCTGGCTTATTATGAAATTAATGTCTTGTCTAAACTGGAATCTTTTAAATGTATATTTTTCTCTGGAATCAACTGTGAGCTTGTGGGCTGATTTCTCTTGATCTATAATGATACCGTACTTCTTGTAAATGATCAAATTAATCTAGATACACTTATGATTCAGTAAAAAGGGAATTCATTTGAGTATTTGCTTCAATCCGCACATGTTTGGACTACACATCCAATTTTCTATTGACAAGTTCATGAGATTTTCGTGAATACACCAATTGCATAACACTGTTATTGAGCGCAAACTCAAATGACCTCTCCCTTGTGACAGGTGTTAATTGGAGAATGTATTCTACTACGGTTAGTTCCCATGAAGCAGAATTGTAAAAACATAGGGTGATTACTTCCAAGACCTTGTGATTTCGAACAAAGGCCAGTTAATGTTTTAACAGGCACAGGGTTGATACGAAAAGTTGAAGGGGTAAAGAAATGAAATAAGCCTAAACTGATATTTGACATTTTCAGGACATAATATATTTGGTGTTGCCACAATTAATCATCACAAGATGAAACATATCATGTGAAATATATCTCAACTATCATTTGGAGGGCCTTTTCAACGATCTTCTTAAATCTGCCATGCCGACACCCCAAGTAATAATAAGATACATAATTTTCAAATCATGTATGACCTATTTCAACTTATTACTGACCCTACGAAGGTCACCCAAAACGCACTTTGTTAGATATTAGTAGATCAGTAGATTAATCAATAACTTTGGCGAGACGTAGAACGTATCATCCCCTTAGACGTTGAGTGAACACATGAATCAGTATCATTATAATCTCAGTGAGCTAAACTCAGTAAATTAACTCAGTAAATTCGATCATATTTCAAAACAAGTCCAGAATTTTATAGCACCCAGTATGTTAATCCCGTATAACAACACCGACGCAACATGAACGAGATTATACTGTAATAAAGAAAATTCTACTTCACGAGAATACCCCATTACGCCATGGCACGGATTCACCTTTATGGCATGTAATACACTCAGTGAGTCAGTATATCTGGTACACTGTTATATAGTCCACATAGGGTAGGTGTATGGAATTTGTATTCATACGAACATTGAGAGGGGACAAAAATTAAACATATTTGCGCTTATGTGGATAATAACTAAAACATACACTTGAAACTGACTTTTGAAAATGCTCGCCATACTAGCGGTAAATAGAACAGTCAATATCAATTTTTGACACATAGAACGAGAAGAATGCAGATGAGTGAAGTTAAACTAATATATAGAATTGGTTCCTAGTTGGTCGCATAGGACGGCGAATAGTAAACACTTACTCTAAACATAATCCCAACTTTAAAAAATGTATCACTTCACGCGTGAGACGCAGTTGCATTGATATCAAGGAAAAAGGGATAATATGAAAATATGTCTTTTTCCTGCAGTTTTCATGAATAAATATGTCACATGCAAGATACATTGTGTATATCAACAATAAGAACTCTAACAGATCAAAAGATTCGTGGAATAGTTCAGTCTATACACTCATGGGCCGGGGATCCTTGGGAAAAAGAAGAAATTGAAAAAGGATGTGGTAAAATCCTTCCTAAATTTCCAAAAATGTCCAACCTTGGAAACATCATCTTTCCAATTTTGGAATTTTTTGGAAATCACCATTTTTTTTCTTGTGAGTGTGGAGAGGCTGTTGCATCAATACATTATACAAGATTACATTAAACAAGAAATAGACCAAAGACGTTAGAGTGTGGAGAGCCTGTTGCATCAATGTTCCCAGGGACACTAGAATTGACAGTGAGTCTGGTGTTGGGGTCAAGGTAGAAGGTGGCCCCAAGTACACTGCTCGCGTAGGTCAGGTGACCTCTCCTGATGGAGGGCGTGGATATGAGATTCCTCATCAACGGTGTGGGAGATTCAGACAGCTCGGACATTCTCTGCTTTAACACAATATGCAGTACCCGTCCATACTCCAGCTCTCTGGTGCCTTCACCTCGGTACAAGATCTGAAACACCAACATGCACTTCTTCAACTGCAGCATTGATTTCCATAGACATCACGCAAGAGTGAAATAAAATAGGTTTAAACACCGTCGTAATGAAAAAGTAAGCGATTGAGTATGGTTTTATGACGCTTTTAGAAGCATCCCACAAAACTCGAAACTGAAAGCATATATTTCAATTGTAATCATTTCCGTTTTGGAACCGATACAGTGAGATACAGAATTGCTTTCAAAATACTAGTGATGGCATTCAAATGTCTACAAAGACTCGCTCAGGCATATCTCACAGACCTCATTCAATTCTATTAGCCAACACGATATCTGCGGTCACTGCTTCTCTGTGTCCGATCCAACAGAAACAGAACATTTGGAGACAGACGTTTCGACACATCTGGACCTAATATGTGGATTGAGTGAGTGAGTTTAGTTTTACGCCGCACTCAGCAATATTCCATCTATATGGTGGCGGTCTGTAAATAACTGGGAACAGTCTGCCATTCGGCCAGAGGTCATCGTTCAGAGCAATTCTAAAGAACCACTCCTTCCGAAAGGCATACGATGTTTCCTTAATAAGACCCTAAACAAGTTTTCAACTGCCAGTTCCTAGCTCAGTTAAGCTCTTTTGAGTGGTTTCAACCAGATCTACCGATGTACACGTATTTTTATAGACTGACAGACAGACACATTAGTGTAGAGTGTCGCTGTTTGCCGTGCAGTGCTGTATCCCTTTCACGTATAAGGATCCGCTGATCGCGGGTTCGAACCCCGGATATGCCCTAATAACATCGCAGTGACAATACCTGGCTATAGATGAAGTAGTAACCACCGTCCTTCACTGTGAGGCTTCCGGCGTCGTGTTCGATGTTGTCACCAACGAAGGTGCTGTTGCTGTCCTCTCTCCAGTTCAAAACAGAAACTGCGGCTGTCAGTTCAGAAGTAGAATGGTACATGGATTAATGGTTTGCATGGTTAATTGTGTGTTGTTATAAATGAGGTTGTGTCATTCATCTTATTCATCCAACTGAATCCTTTATTTATTTATATATGTATACATTTAAATAAATCCGCTTTGAAGTCGCTTCTCCTCGGAAAAATACGATGCTTTGTCCCACTGTTACAATAAATACTTTCATCATAGCTTCCGTGAAACTTATCAAAATCATGTCAGTGAGCTAATTCACTTACATTTTCGATATTCGATATTTTATTTCAATTTCCGTACCTGTGTACTTTGCTCGGGGATCAATGACCAGGTGAGCAGCTGCTTCCATAAACTGCCGTCCAGTTCTTGTGACACCGCCCACTCCCGAGGATAGTTGTTTTCTGAAGGGCAGGGAGATATACTGAACTTAATCTAACAACCTAGAAATAAAAACAGGCAAATATCACAGCACGTGGAAACATACAGTTACCGAAATGTTACGTGCAGGTTAACAGTGATAGCAGTAAATCATTTGAGTGAAAGAATCCATGAGTTGTACAAACCTGAAACTGTCTCCGCACACAGGGCGTTAAGCTGCAAATACAGACGGGAATCACATAATCAAGGTGAACGTCTAGTATATGCACTGCAAATAGTTCTCATGTGCTCAGTGTAGTCCGATTACATTGTGTACACTATATCACAAGTATTCCGGTCAGTACCATGATAGACTGCAGTATAAATGGAGAATTGAATATGAAAATGAATATGTAAATGATATGCAGTCGGACCAAGTTAATAACTATTTGGAAGAATGTTTGGAAAATGTGTTTATTGATATTGATAAGTCGGTTGATATTTTGTTGAATATATTTAATTTCAGTGGTAGATCTATGATTGTTAAAGACAAAGGACCTAAACTACCACAAACCGAATGGTTTGACAATGAATGTAAATATGCAAAAACATTTCAGGAAATATCCGTCAACAATGAATCTAAAAGCATACCAGATAGCAAAGAACAGGTTAAAAAATATGTGTGAGAGGAAACACAAATATTACAATGAAAACGTAAGCAAAACCATTACTCAAGCAGCCATCAATAATGATTGGAAAGGGTTTTGGAAAGTTGTAAAAAGTATTCATCTAAGCGATCTGATTAGAATAATATTTTACCAGAACATGGCATAAATATTTTAAAGATTTATTGAATCATGTATCACGTGATGACTGTGACCAGGAGTGGGATGCATATATTGGAAACTATATTTCTGAACATAGTTATGAACATTATGCTGATTGTGCAAATGATTAACTGTCTTATGATATAACAATAGCAGATGTTATATCTGCAATAGACGATGCTAAACTGAATAAGTCACCAGGAGACCACGGTATTCCAACAGAATTTTTAATGAAAGTTAAGGATATGATTGCACCCAACCTTGCTTTATTGTTTTCACAAATATTATGCAAAGGTCATTTCCTAGTTGCATGGACTACTGCTATTTTATAAACCTGGAGGCTGCTTCTCACTATATATTAGACATGGAATTACCGCATTTGAGGTTTTGTTCTGCTATTAGACTTTTTTTGTAAGTAAGACCTCTTCCCAGGTTTCACCCCACATATTAACATCAACATTCAAATGGATGAAGAAATAAATCAATTGAACCGTCAAAGATAACTATAGGGTTTGGAACAGCATATCGTTGTTGAACACTTTGTCTTGTCTTACTTTCCCATTTAACCTCGGAGTTTATTCCTATAAACAAGAGAATTAATAGTAACCTTTGTCGAGAATGAAGGTATAATTGGTGAATACCAAAGGGGATTTAGAAAAAAACATCATTCAACATTTGATAACATATTCATTCTTCAGTTTGTTCAAAAGCATATACAGTCAAGCACCGTTGTCTCGATATTCATGGGCCCAAGAAATAATATCGAGTTATCCGAACTTCGAGACATCCGACCAGGGCACATCATTACATATCACTATGAAAGAAAACAAAACGCTTCTCAGTATGTTTTGATTCGAAACTATAATTCGTTATCAGTAGTGTTTAGTCGTAACAGTGAGTACTTCCTAATTAAATCCTTCTTAATTAATCCTAATTACAAATGACACCTTCAACTCAATTAGCCCTAATTAGTTTACACTACCACATCCCTTTGATTCATGCCGCACCGTGTGGAAACATGTGGAAACAACCTCAGTTTAGAGGGATACTTGCAAAAGAAAGGTAGGTGAATATCGAGTTTCTTTGCAAATATTGAGTTAAAAGGGCAATTTTGCTTGTTTGGACCATGAAATTATATCGAGATATCCGAAATATCAAGACATCCATATCGACTTAAAAGGGCTTGAATAATGATAAATTATGAAAGATTTTGCCGGGACCGATATGTCATATCGAGACAAACGAGATATCGAGTTATCAGAGTTCGACACAACGGTGCTCGACTGTAACTCGAAGAAAAGGGAGATTCTACTGTGCATTCGTAGATTTCAAGAAGCGTTTGATATCGTTAACCGAAATACATTACTTCATCTTCTTTTAAGAAATGGTATCCATGGAATAATATATCGTGTTCTTCAACATTTTTATGACAACGTGAAGTATGCTATAGTTGTCGGAGAAGGGAGAAAATTATGATAAATTATCTGATTATTTTGATTGTTCCTCTGGTGTTGGACAAGGATGTCCACATTTTTTAAAGAACTTGGAATTGTCGAATCCATGAGCAGTAATTTTAGTAATGGCATCTTTATATCAGATACTATGTATAATATTTTATCTTTACTATTTGCAGATGATCTCACTCTACTTGCCGATACCCCAATTACATTGCAGAAACAATATAATTAGACTTTCTTCATCAATATTGTCTTAAATGGGGTATGGAAATTAATACTGATAAGGCAAACATAAATGTTTTCGAAACGGAGAACCCTTATCCAGATTAGAGAAATGGACTTATATTAGAACTGATTTTGAAGCAGTTAGTTTTTACAAATACGCTGGATTAATGACATCACCAAAACTAGTTTGGAGTAAAACATGTACAGTTCTAGCACAACAAGCAAATAAAGCCCTATTCCCAATACGATTACTCATAAGAAACTTCGACTTATGCCCAAAAGATGCTTTTAAGATATTTTATTGAAACATTGTACCTATACTGATGTATGCCAGTGAAATATGGGGTTATAAAGATATGCAACAAATTGAAATTGTACATCGATCATTTTGTAAATTTGTTTTAAATGTTGGCAAATCATTTCCAAACGTTGCAATATATGGAGAATGTGGCAGATATCCACTTTATGTGAAACATTTTACGAACTGTATAAAATATCGGATAAGGCTTGTTACAATGCCTTCATATAGATATCCAAAACAACGTTATTTTATGTTAAATGAAACGTGTAATCGGAAACGCCCTAATTGGGCAACCCACATACAGAAATTGTTATTTTCGCTCGGGTTTGGCCATGTTTGGCTGTATCAAGGTGTTGGAAATGAAGATAATTTTATAAAAATGTTTACTCAAAGAGTCATCGACTGTACGAATCAAAACTGGCAGTCCGAATTATTAGAAAAGAAATCTTTATGTTTTTATTCATCCATTAAAACTGAATATAATCAAGACTTGTATATTAATGCTGTGAAGAACCAAAAATACAGAAGGTCATCACTTCTATTTAGAACAAATTTTAATCGTTTAAGAGTACAAAATGTTAGAAAAGGTTTTTGTAATGCTGAAAATGATGATGCTAAATGTCCCCTGTATAATGTATTAGGAGATGAGAAACATATATTTTATCAGTGTCCATTATATAATAGTCTCCGTATGGAATTAACTGTCTCCTTACAATGTAACATACCGGATAATTTTAAACATTTACTGAATTCAAATGATACAAATACTTTGTTTTTATTAGGTAAATACTTATATATTATCTTTAAGATACATCTACAACAATTGTAACGCACACATGCATGTCTTTTCTGTATATGTTTGTATGACTAATGGGTCATTTAGCCTTGAAAACAATAAAGATGATGATGATGATGATGATGATGATGATGATGATGTATATCACAAACGCTGTCGTTTTATAAGTCGATATAATAGTCTCCAAATTATTGTTTGTTATCGAAAGATCACACTGACAACTCTCTGTCACTAGATAATGGTTATTACGGTTCCAGAATAACCCAGTCTAGTCATGCATCACGATCAATCTATATTGGTGCCCTACCTGTGCATCGATGACGTCAGAGTGTGTATCCGTGAAGCTCGTGCTCCCAGTCTGTTTGTAGAAAGCCAAGACGACGACCACAGCAACAAGCAGGATGATATTTGCAGCCACCAACAACGTCACTGCTTTCATAGCAATCATGTCGTAATGATGTGCACCCTAGATGCTTTCAGCACCCCAACGCGGCGTCTTACAACGAAAACGAAAGTGAAACTAGAATATTTCTCTCTGAGTCACATTCTCATCGAATTAAATAACCTTATAATGTAGATGAGCGCATCAGTGATATTTTTAGATGGAATGCACAATGTGCAAAGATAACTCAGTTTCTCAATGGATGGATGACATCATCCAACGTCGACAACGACTGAACGTCGTGCGCTAGACCGGAAGTTATTTACCACTCATTCTACAACATACATTTCAAACAAATAATATGGCTAACGCTATTCTGACACTTCACAAATACATGGCAAAAACATGACTACAATTTCACAGTTTATATATTTGTCACATTTTTTAAAAGGTCCGTGTTATGCTGTTTTGAAATGTGTGTGTTGTCAATGCAACCATACATTTAGCCTTATAGACATGTATTGATAGCGTCATTGTATTGACATGCTGATATATGTCTCTGGATAAGATATATATCCATCAGTACCTTTAGTAGTTTGCTCTTAGTTGACCTACAGAGGAATCAACAGAACCAGCCTGGTCGGATCGGGTAGCTTCCGGGGTCTGCTGCACCTGCGCGAACGCTCCAACACTGAACAATAGAACCAGTCATGCATCGACCACACTGCGACATCTGCCACCTCATACAGTAATACGAGTTTAACAATCTAAGGGAGACAACTCTTTCATCTTTATGTACAACGACCACTCCATTATGACTCCGTCTAAGCAACTATTGAGTGTTTAACTCGTGCACAGTGAGCCTAGTATGTGTCCATGTGTGAGCAGACGGACCAGCAATTGTTCAAGATGCGTCTGTTTTGTTTGAGAGAAATATACATGCTTTTGTAAATATATAGTTTGGATGATGTATTTATGATGCCCGACTCGCATCTTTCGTCCGATATTTGAATGTGCTATGAGCATGTCAGCATCGTCTGGGTGAATGTATGGTTGTGATGCCCGCCCAATTCGACCCGTGAAACGTCGGAGTTGTAGGGTGGTACATGCGTTCAGCCTCCACACTATTGGCCTGTCGATCATTTGAATACTCAAAACACGGCATTTAGATAGTGGTTTACATAGCAAAACGAAACCCCAATCCTTCTTGTCGATATAGCATTAATAACATTTACTTCCTCCAATATACTGCTGTAATCGTTTGCTCTTCAGACACAACATAGATCCAGTACAACCTAATAGACATTCTAAACCAGTGCTATTGTAAGTAACCCTTTAACACGGTCACCTTCACCGGGTCACAATGTTTCAGCGGTTCATGGACACATACTATGATGTACTCAGAAGCGTAGATCCAGCATTTGCTTGTGAATATGTTTAATTTTTTATCATTTTTATCAAATATTATCCAATACACACGTATGATTCATTAGACCAAACACCTTCAAGAACCTTGTGACTGTCTGTAAATATATGTTGATTTATTATTGTTTAAAATTGTCACGGTAACATTGGAATGGAGTTGCACTCCAAAGAACATCAATGAAAAGCTCACTCATCTGAGGTATATGTGGGCTTATATTTTGCAGGTAACATTCCATTGCAAAGAACCACGCTTACAATGTCCCGAAAATTATCATGCGTTTTCGTCGAGAGGGAAATGTGTTGCCAGTGTCCGTTGTCATTATTTGTTTCACAGCTGTAGGCAGGGTGAGAACTTCACGACATTGTACCAAGTTTACAATTACCTGAATGTGGAGAAAAGTACAAACCGCCATTCACCAATTATGCACCATTTCACAGCCATGTCCTTATAGATCATAGAGTTTGTCAGTCGGTGAGAGACTCATATGTAACTTCCAGATATAGATCCAGATTGATTTTCAATTTTTTACTACAACTGTGATTGTTCGTGTCAAACATTGGGTCAGCTGAATGTTATAGTGAAAGGGGAAACAAGGTAATTACCGCAACACCTCGCTGTGCTGCCGACTGTAAATTTCGCATTTCCCCTAGGTTTAATCAATACAAAATAGCAAATGGAATGACCATATTATGGTGGCTGATTAGGGCCATCGTCATGCTCTATCACTTTCTCGTCTCGTGTTTTCGCTTTCTCGTATCGTGTTATCGCTTTCTCGTCTCGTGTTATCGCTTTATCGCTTTCTCGCCTTTTAAGGCGAGAAAGCGATGGCCCTAATCAGCCACCATACCATATATGTATGGTCATCCGCAGTTGACGAACTTTATGGTATGTTTTCAAGTATTCAGAATCATCTCAAGGCAATGTGTGCACTGAGGGATATTCGACTTTCTTTTAAAAGAGTACCTTGTGTCAATTCTATCAGTCCCTTATATCGCAGACAGGGATGTCATGTTTCAAATCAAACAGTTAATTAAATACACACGTCCATCAAATATATGGTTGTGTTGTCATGCACATTTCAGGATGCAATATACACTAAGCCTTGCATATATTTGATTTATTTTCTTTGTATGTACACATAGACTTTATACACGTCCGCTACAATGCGTCCTCTAGGTTAGATAAGTTAGTTGACTGTTATCACATTCCGCATATGTAATGATTGTGCCTCAAGGTTGTAGAAAGTTGGTACTTTGATTCCCCCAACCTACCCCTCAAACTTGGAGAGGTACGGCTGAACAGTGGTAACTTGTCACAGCGCTACCCTCCGCATCACTACACAGCTTCATTCCCTGTATATAATCGACACATTCAAGGCTTTTCTGGTGATGTCACTTTTAAGAAGACAAAGCCCAATACACCACGTGTCTGTTGTCCACATATGACGCCGGATGGACACAAACAGTCTGACCAACGTCATTGCTCGCACTGACATGCAGACCGGTTCTTCAGATCGTCAAATGTTGGGAAGGGTAAAGCAGGCGCAATGTCGTGTCTGATCTTTGGTAGACTGCAGGCACAGTGTCGTGTCTGATCTCTGGTAGACCGCAGGCACAGTGTCATGTCTGATCTCTAGTAGACTGCTTGACTGACCTCACGTCAGGAGGACACGCGCCGCTATTGTTTGTCCTAAGGGTTGACGTCACACTTTAGTCACGGGGCTGTAGGAGTGGCACCTAGATCTCTCACGCATGACGTGACAAAGTTCTACCAGTGCACAGATTATTGCCAGCAGCAGAACGCTACACAGGAAGATGATAAAGCCCACTGTGACGGGGTCGCTGAATGACAACATCCTGTGAAAAAACAAACAAGCACAGCTATCATGTTGTACATGGAGGGATGGCTCACTGTTCTAGGCTACGGGGTCGGATGGCTGAATGCAGTCATGCGAACATATTAACTAAATGTCACAAAATTAGTGAGTGAATGGTGTAGATGTTTCACGTAGTTTACTTCTTTTCACATGTCTCCACATTTACAAAGCACTGTGTAAAGTACCCAATGAAAACACTGAAATATGATTCCATGTTTGTCAACATTATCCCTCACGAGTTGTTTAAACAGAGTGGTAAACGTTCGGGGTCCGTATCACTATGGACATTTCTCCCTCATTCAGTTGACACACATCAGTATATCCCGAAGACTGGTGCAAGTGGCGCTAAACCCAACTCGCCATTCACTTAGGATGGACTGAGGGTCGGCATGACGACGACATGATGGTGTATGACGTTATCGTTGTCGACGTTTCACTGGATGACAACAGCTAGTTTCCCGAATATCCCAACTTATAATGCTGCTATTGTTTTCCTTCTTCTCACTGATTGCATGTCTGCAGGTATTTACCTTTCGGACTCACTGCGTGCCTGCAACTATTTTATCCTTCTGATTCATTGCAAGCAATTCGTTATTTGCCATCTGATTGATTGTATTCCTGCACGTGTTATTTGCCATCTGATTGATTGTATTCCTGCACGTGTTGCACGTGCTGGTATTTCATCCTTCGGACTTGTTGTATGGAAACAGGTATGTACAACAGTTGAACTAAGAAAACGTGACAGCACGATTGGACATGAATATAAACGTATTTTTAAACGAAAATATACCTTCTGGATCATTCTCGTCAACATTTAATTAAGTCTTTCCACTAGTCTGTTGTCTTGAGCCCCTCAATACTCAACTGAGTGATGTTATGAGAAGCGCTTCGTGCTGTCTGCGTACGATGATCAACAACTAAGTGAGATAACCCCTCGCTCGAACCGTGTAAATCCCTGCGGTGATGCCCTATCAGATTCAATAAATTATTTTAAAAGATTCCTGGCAGAGAATTCTTTCCAAAATGAGACATTGTTTTAATTGACCTACCTGTTTCTGGCAGCTATACTACTTCCACCAGCATCTTGCAGAAATCACCATAGCAACTCTTGGACTGTCACTGCGTTGTAAAGAGCTGCCTGCTGAAATAGGAATGTTCGTTATTGGTACTCAACAGCTCAGTTCACCCACGGCGAAAGCTCAAGGCAAAGGCGCTAGGCGAAGGCGATATTTGTAACACGCTTAATTTATCAGGGTTGTACTGAACGCCAAGGTCAAAAGGTTTTGTGAAAAAGAATAGCTTAAATCTCCCAACATCCATTCCGCGTGACCAGGCATCAGGGACACATCGCTGCACACCGTCGTATCATCACTAAAAAGCAGGCACTGTTTTGAATGAGTCATGTTTTCAACAATCTGAAACCGTTTTACCTGTTCTGCTGGTACGACATCAGTCACCACCACTCCAGGGGCAAGCTTGTAAGGCAGAACACATACGTAGGTTGTACCCTGGCTTTATCTACTACAGTCCTGTAAATACACACAGATGACATTAAGTAACCCCATAAAGGTTTAAATAGCATCTACGAATATATGTCAACATGTTTATAGCTGTGGTTGAAACGAGCAAACTCACCCTGCATGTAAGGCATTGCAAGACGCACATCTATCGACTAAGTCTTGTCCAATATGGAGAGTAGTAATGTGAAGGTTGTATGGTTGATAAACGTGTTGACATTCCTCTGGCGGTCCCCTGCCCGGGGCAAGTGATAATTAGGTGTCCAAACAAAGGTCAGCCCTGACCATAACATACATTGCAGTCGGCGGTTTGTGTATATGTATTACATAATCTTCTGTACGAGGAAGTGTAAGCTGTGTTGGAAAACCGTTATTGACTGATCAGGCGATGTCGGATATTGCCGTTGACGTCACGATAGGCTTTGGTTGTAATTCTCACAGCTGTGCTGTATTAATATCTTATTGAGCGGACAATCGCAGGTGGTTAATATCTCGCCAGACAATAGCCACTCGTGGTAACTGAACGCTATTAATCATAACCGTGTATGACGGGTTTAAGAAACTGAATTGTGTCGCGTGAGTCAACTTTGATCGACACATATGCACAGTACATCTCATTTGACCCCTCCTCTAATCACAACATCTAGTACACCACCAGATATAGACAACCACACCACAATAACGACCCTTGTGTTATAATAATTAATATATTATGCATAATACAGTGTTAGGAACTTATGATTATCGAGCGATAGCATTATTAATGACACTTGTGCATTTCATATAGCAACCATACACAATTACACAGATGGACACCACTTTTCAACACGCCGATGTATGCGATACCAGGGTTCACGAAGCATGGCAACATCAAATGGACTTTATTTGATAGCGACATCCAGTGCAGATGTATTTTCTTTATCG